AACAAAAATAACAAAAATTAAAAATAAATAATATTGAAAAAGAGTATTCGATTTCTTAAAGAAAAATAAAATACATTCACTGTATAACCTGCAATTAAATTAGAATACTCTCATCTACAGTGCAGCTTAAATAAAATGTTCAATTATTGCGAGTGAAAATTTAAATTTTGTAAACGATTCCGAACATGCTTGAAGCAGTCGGAGTTTCCTCTTTGTAGGAGGGGGAAAAGCCAAAATAATTGAACACAACACACTAAACATAAGTTAAATTAATACAAAATAAGAAGAAGCCGTAAACAAGTCAAGGTTCAATTTCCCCGATTAGCTATCGTAAACATGCTTCTTACCTTTGTAAATCAGCCATGTCTTTCTCCAAATGTTTTCTACTTGTTTCAAGCGTAGAGTTCCTTTCTTTGAGCTTATCTATCTGGCGTCTTGAGTCCCTTAATGCATCCTGAAGGCGGGCTGCACTTTGTGGATCTTAATGGGCAATAGAAAAAAATCGTAAAAGAAGGAAATAAGACGCTAGAAACAGAAGAATTTGATCGATCGCTTACCGGGTTTTTCTTATTTTCCCAAGAGGTTTTTAGAATATCAAAATGATGAATTTGAAATAGAAATATTTAGATATTACAGTAATTCACGAACGTATCAAGACACGGGAAAAAAACTTCCGGAAATTAAAAATATATTTTGGTAATGCAGAAAGGATTTTTTATGAAGAAAAATAGGAAACAATAATAAAAAGGAAAGCATAGAAAATTAGCATTTAGATCAACTTATTTAGAATTCTAAGGTTGCAATTGTTTTTTCTGTTGAAAATTGTGAAAATGTATCTAACGTTTTAATAAAAATGAGAAAAATATTAAGAGTTTCGATGGAACRTATCAAAGTAACTATACAACGTAAATTTTCAATGAGAAATCTGCGACTAAGAAGAAAAAAATAATATACAGAATTTCTATATCTTAATCCCTCTTTTTTTTCATGGCGTGAAGAATTTATTTTGACTTTATAGCCAATTAAGATTTCCTTTTTTTTTTTTTTTTCAAAAACGTTTTTCTCCATCAAGACAGAGATACTAAGTAGATTATTTTTACAAGATCCTTACATTTCTCCCAAAGAACATTTCCTCCAATTAACTAGCCTTATCCATTTGGATACGAAGGTACTTATGCTTGCATCCTTAGCGTTAAGCCATTATCCCCCTTTTTACCACCAATGTTTACTTTCCCCTTATCGATAATAAACCCAGCGATAAAAAACATTTTTATAAACGCGAGTTAACTAAAGCCGATAAACGTCAATAATAGGCGGATGTGACGTCACAGAAGTAAAAGGGCGGAAATCAAAGGACGCGCGCGCAATAAACCTTGATTTATAGATCTAAAATAAGATACTCCATTGATCTTCAAAAATGACATCTTAAAGTTTTTATTTTAATTCTACGTGAAGTTTATATTTATATTCTCAAATGCAATCAAATCAAGGAACAAATCTAGTAAATTCTATACTCTAATTCCGATTCCAGGAATCGAAACGAGACTCCAGTTGTGAGAGGCATGTGTAATACATCTACACTTGATTCTAAAACAATTCCGTACTCAGAGCCTGTGTTCTGTATTCATTGTGATCAGCAGCGAGGAAGACGAGACGTGCTGACCATGAGTAATGTAGGCTCCTAGTATAACATTGTATTGTAAAATTACCTTGTGGACTGATGGGTAAAGAGCCATAAAGCGGAGTCGTCTTACTAAGCTGTGAGGTGGTAGGTGTAATGGGAGAATCAAACTGGCCGTCTGCTTTTGCTGTAGACTGGAACTGAGGTACGCCGCTGTTCAACATCATTGCTGCCGCAGGGCTATATGACGCCTGCTGACCTTCTTCAGATGACTCGGACCAGTCGACGTCATCGACGTAGCCATTGGAGAGGACCTGGATCGGGAATCACGAATGAGTCTACCACATCACAGTCAAAACATTTCATCATGTTACTTACCTGTGAGGTTGGTGGTAGAGGGTCTGAGGTTCCTTGGCCTCTCCTAAACACAGAAAAACGATGTCTTTGAAATTTGAAGAGATAAATTGACATCCTAGTTTTTTTTCCATGCAGTCATCCGAAAGGAAATGGGGTAGGATGTCAATTTATCTCTTCAAATGATGATGATGATGATGATGGTGATGACAATGTCAGAGAATGCTTTATAACTAAATTGGTCTCAATGACCTTGTACACACACATCTGCCAATATTTGTTTCCCAAGCATTGTGTTGAATAGTAGGTGTCAATCGATATTTATGAAGTCCTTGTCAAGAATATTCGAGGGCTTTCTCTAGATTCTCCGATTATCCTACCTCCACAAAACCTTACACCCTGAATTTCAGTTCGATCTAAGAGATAACCATCCCCTAATTTTGAAATTGTTTCAGGGTAGCGATCAAAATTGAAGGTTGAAGGTACCTTAATTTTCCAACACTCTCATCATTTTCAGTGTCATCATCTCTTGATGCCATCGTGTCAAGAATCGATTCTGATTCCAGCATGGCACTGCGTCTTTTAGCTGCTTCAAAAGATGCGTTCAACTGTTCTCGTTCTTGCATTAGCTGTCTTGATTTTTCTTCGAGTTCGTCGCGTCTTTTTCGATTCCCTAGCTCGGTTAGTTTTGCACCGACTTGGCGATCTAAAATTTCCTTTCTTGACTCCAAGTCTTGCAACTGACGTTTCTCCATTTCTGACCAAGTAAACAAGTAATAGGATTAAAAATATAAATGTTAGAACAATCAGGGAAAACAATTTATTAGTTTAAGATGAGGCAATGACTTAGATAAATTGAATTAAAAAACAAAATCGAAGTTTATCTATCGTAGGATATACTGAATGACTACGTTGGTGTGTTGGATACAAAGAGTTAAAGCCTGGTTCACATATGATCGCAGACGATCGCAGACGATCGCTCTCGATCGCTCGATCGCAGAATCCACTCAACCGAGGATCTCAAATCGAACTGTTCACATATGATCGCAGCCGATCGCCGGCGGTTTGTTGACACCTTACTTGCCTATATGGCTTACAAACGTAAATTAGCATATATAACCGTGTGTTGATACTTTTAAACCAGTTATATCTAAAAAAAACTAAAAAGAAATGCTTTTTCGCTTGTGAAAATCAAAAATATACACGTGTTTTATGGAAAACTGAGCATTGTGGGACACCTTCCAATCTCACGATCGCAGAATTCTGTTCACATATAATCGCAAACGATCGCAAACGATCGCAAACGATCGCAAACGATCGCAACCGATCGCAGGAATAGAACCCGATTCTATTCCTGCGATCGCGATCGCAGACAATCGCAGAGCTGTTCACATATAATCGTACTCGATCGCCAGCGATCCTCTGCGATCGTTTGCGATCGGTCTGCGATCATATGTGAACCAGGCTTAATAAGAAGGAATTAAACTTAAATACCGTCAGAAAAAGTTTACTTGGGACATGAGTCTTTCGTCGGAGTAAAAGTACGAGACAAAGTGTGAGCAACATATGATGTAACTTCATGCAAACCTTAGCGAGTCAGTGGATGGTGCATCTTTGGCAAATTCAAGTCGAAAAATGACACCGTGGAATTAATTTGACAGACAAGTTTGCTTGGGTCAAAACGAGACCTACTGCGCCGGTCAGTTATTTCAAGCAACGATGAGTTTCTTAAAGAAGCACTTCGTATAACCGACTTTCGTAAATGTACAAACAAAACGAATAGATTGTAATACTTGAATGTAAAAGTCATGGTATTGAAGAAAATATATTGTGAAATAGGTAACTTTTGATTTCATGCTGCTTGGCAAGTCTAATTGAAGCTGAACAAACTTACTGGATGGGAAGCGATATACAAACAACGTTGACCTGGGTGGAAACACAAGTACAAAGTACTTCTCGGATGACTTGAAACCATTAAAAACCCTTCAATTATTCACAAAGAAACATAGGACTAAAAAAGTTCACGCAAAAGAAAACCACTGAAGTTATCTTCACAAATTGTAGAAAATTTCGCTCGCAGCATAAAAGTAAAAGAAAAAAACACTGAGTGGAGAAAGGTAGGAATTTTTTCGCATGACAACAAACTTAGACAAGTAAACTTAAGTTTAAGTCTATTTACAATACAAGCTGTAGTTCTTTATTGACTGATTGCGAGAAATTCAATCAAGCACTTCGCTGGATCAATAGTGGAGACCAATACAGACCAATCAAAACGATATAAGATCATAAACTTATAAATTTATACAAACACGAAAAAGTTAGCGAAAATAAACCTTATTTTCTGTCATGATAACCATGCAAATGTTACTTAAATATTGAAGATAGGTACTTTTATAATAATTAAATCTGTCAAAATGGCATTGTCTAGTTACGAATAAAAGTAGAGTCTTTAAAAAATATTCTTCCTACCATTTGGTCTTTCTGCATGCTTTTAAAGTAATCCACGTTGAAGTCCATGTTTAAGAAGGAAGCGAAATATTGACAGTCGACAAACAAATCAATTTAGCGAAACAAAACCATGAAGGATGACTCGTAATTAATACCATGAATTKTCCATTTTTTCCCCCTTCTAGGCAAACTTCAGTTAACATAAAAGGCCAGTGTTTTTTAAGTTTAAACGSCAGTGAGTGGACGATTTTGCTCGAGGTAGAAGAGAACCTTTTTAAGTTAAAGGGACTAAAAATAAACAGGATTCTAAATAGTAATAGTAATAAACAGGTCAAAGAGATCAGCTGTTTCCATGGTATTGGACGCTGTGCTCACTGACTCGTGAAAAATATAGCGTGGCGTGGCGTGGAAGTCAATCATATGTGGAAATAAGATGTTGAGGAGGGGGGAGGTGACAGGAAAAAATGTCGTTTGTTTTTGTCATTGAAATCTCTTGTCAAAAGTATGTTTATGACCAAATTTTGCAAACAAGTCGTAAACCGACAGATTGACTGACTGAYTGACTGCAGACCAACTGACGAACGGACCGACCGACCGACTGAAGACTAAATGACCGACCAATTGAATGACTGATTGACCAACCGACCGACCGACTGACGAACCGACCGACCGACTGTAGACTTACTGAATAAAACATATTTACTTACCGATTCTCATTTCTAGTTCCCGTTGATCCGTAATATCCCTATGCGTTAAAACCTCGCCTTCCAACATCTCTTGCTCAGCTTTCTTCCATCTTAACGATTCTTCAATTCTCTGTAGTTCTTCTTCATCCTCTCTCGACGCTATCCCTTGAAGACATTTCAACTTTAGTAGTTCTTGGCGCCTTCGAAGTTCTTCTTGCCCACACTGAAGTTCTTTGACTTTTTCTTTTCGCTTTTGTTCTTCTTCTTCGTGAGTTTTAAGGGATTTTTCTAGTTCTGCTTTCTCGCTGGCGATGCTTTCTTGGAATGAGTGTTTCCGCGCTCCTAATTCACCCATTTCCTAAAAATACAAAGTTTCGTGGATTAGAGTATGTCCCTACCGAGTTTTTTGGTCGTGAGTGTATTCTTTCTATAGAGCAAACTTTGAAAGTGAGTTTAGTTAAAGGCAAACAATCAAACAGGCAACACCAAGCAAGCAGATAAACAACAACATAGGCAGACAGGTAGCCAAGTCAGGAAAGACAGACAGACAAGCAGAAAAGCAAACAACAAAGCAAGAACGCAAACAAACAAAAAACAAGCAAACAAACACAAAAACAGACAAACATATGACACGAAGGTACCAAACATACAAAAACTGCAGAGTATCACGAGTATAACGCAGGCGCAAGAGGTAACTTTCTGTTTCCACCTTGTTGATGTAGAAGTATATGCTGCCATGTACAGTAATAAAACCAGAACGAAGCCTCTGATACTTCAGGTAGTGCGACTTATGAATTACTATCTTGTCCAAGAACAATTATTTTTACAACAAAAATGATAGTATAAAATATATTATTATATATTCAATAATCTCGAAAAAAATTTAAGTCGATTTTGTAATAAAAAAAAAGTACTTTCGATGAAAAGTGAAAGAAAAAAATAAATAAATAAAATAAACCAARAGTAATATATWTTTTTTTAAACGCTGAAAAAGGATCGTATCGATTTAACAAGATTAATGATCTGCAATAATTATAGCTATTTATTATGTATATTGGACTGTTTATGGTTACTATATATATCATATATGAAAAAAATGAACATCAACAAATAGAAAAGTATAAGAGGCAATTGATGGTATATTGGTATAGAGGTATATTGATGGCTTGGAATATTTCTAGGTATTCCTGGTCAACACCTTGCATGCCACCAAGCATTTCAATGAACAAACTCCCCCCAAAAATTAATAAAAGATCTAAAGAAAGTTACACATAGCGTCAACAACACAGGAGCACTACAGAAAGAAAGCCTCCTCTTGTATCGTAAATGCAGTCTGTCTGAGATGTTAATCCAAGTGGATTACACTTCGGCTTTCAGTAAATAGTAACAGCAGTGATGTTTGGTTGTAACGCCAAAACACAATATTACTAAGATCTTAAAAATACGATATTGTAAATTAAGAAACCAAAAACTATAAAAAATAAAAAATAAAATAAAAAAAGATTGAAAAGTAGAAAATAAATAAAACAAAAAGAACTAACGCTTACCCCATTTGTTACAGCCATACTCAATCATATAATAAAAACAAAGAAAGAGCAAGAAAATCAACACAAGAGTAGTAGTTAGAGGGTCTTCAGCTCAAGATATCAATAAATTATTTTCGGCTCGACTTTCTCTTCMATATCTTTTATATTCTCAAAATAGTAGAAAATTCAAATGACAGGGGAGTGGTTTTTTAAAAAATATAATGGTATAACTAAAAGGTGTTTGAATTGTGGACGGAATATGATGTTGTATGATTGTTATGGTTGTGTGGGTATTGATGGCAGCGATGATAGTGATGCTGGAAGTGATGATTATTGTGGAGTAAATGACGAAAATGATTTTGGGAGTGATGGTGTTAATGTTGATGGTGGTTATGATGATGATGGTGATGGTCGTAGAGTGATTGATGGTGATGGTGATGGTCGTAGAGTGATTGATGGTGATGGTGATGGTCGTGATGATGATGATGATGGTGGTGGTTGTGGACTGATTGATGGTGATGAGGTGATGATGATGGTCGTGGTCGTTAGGAGTGATTGATGGTGATGGTCGTCATGGATGATGGTGATGGTGATAATAGTGGAGTGATTTTTGATAATTGTCGTGATGATGATATTGTTGGTTGCGGAGTATGATGTTGATGATCGTACTATTGATGATGATGATGGTTAGGGGGTTGATGTTGTTGTTGGTATTGATGCTGATGTCGATTCTGATGATAGTGGTCACGGATAACGATAATCTCGATGATGACAATAATTACGGTGATTGATAATTATATTAATACTGCTGCTACATGTAACATAGTTATGATAATGATAATGATAATACATAACGACAACTTTTCTTACCGCTGAAAGAACTTGTTGTCCTTGTACAGGCAGCACTTGCTCTTCTACAGCACGTTGTCTTTCAAATTCCTTCAACTTCAACTTTTCTTCTAATTCTCTTTCCCTCCTGGCCATTTCTTCTTCAAACTTTCTTTCCTGCTCAAGTAATTCTTCTTGTTTCTTTCGATAAGCTTCCAAGAGGTTGTCTTCGTCTTCCTTGATTCTCTGCTGTTTCTCAAACAGTTCTTGTTGTCGCTGTCTTTCCAGTTCTTCATTACGAAGTGCCTCCTCTTTTCTTCTCCTTGCTTCTTCTGCTTCTCTATTTTCCAGTATTTTTCTCTCATGGTGGAGTTTTTCTTCATATTCTCGCTTCTGGCGTTCCATTTCTTCTTCCTTTTCGCGCATTTGTCTCTCGAGTTCTTCCTCTTTCTCTCGCTGAATTCTTTGTAATTCGCTCTCGTTTCGGTTACGAATACGGTTTTCTTCTTCTTCTCGGCGTCGCTTCTCCTCATCCCTTTCCTGTCTCAGTTTCAACATTTCCTCTTCTTTAAGCTTCATTTGTCTTTCAAGTTCTTCTTCTTTTTCTCGCTCAATTCGCAGCCTTTCTTCTTCTCTTTGTCTTTCCAGAGTCTTAAGCGCCTCTTCTACGCGCTGTCTTTCTTCTCTTTCTCTTTGTAGCCTTCCCTCGTCTGATTTCCTTCGTCTTTCTTGTTCTTCTTTGAGCAAGCGTAGCTCTTCTTCCTTTCGTTCCCTTTCCTCTCTTTCCCGATTGAATTTTTCTTGTTCCCGACGCAAAATTTCTTTTCTTTCTTCTTCCTCGATTCTTTCTCTCTCTTCTGATCTTCTTCGTTCGTTTTCCTCATCTTCTTCCAACTTTCTTTTTTCTTCTTCAGCTTCTTTCTCAAGTCGTTCCATTTCCATCTCCATTTCTAATTCCTTCTGAACTTCCAGAGCCATTGCTTCCTCTTTCTTCTTCTGTTCCTTCTCCCACTGTGTAATCCTATCTTTATCTATATCGTCTTCATCTTTCTGCTTTGATTTCTTCAATGAATCTTTCTTCTTTTTAGCTCGTTCTTTTTCCCATTCGCTCTCCGATTCCTCGATTTCTGAGTCACTGTTGGAATTTTTTCGAGTCTTTCCTCCATCTTTGACGCCCTTGTCAGTTTTGTCCATGGTGTCTTTCTTTATTTCAACCGGTGAGGGTGGTATTGGGGTTATTTTTTGACTGGTACCAAAGAGACTGCTGCCCCGTGTGTTTGTGGGTTCATCAGATGGAAGAATATCGTCCTGTAATAAAAAATGTAAGGGACACAGTCCATAAATATATTTTAATTAATGCAATGCATTCAATATGAGCAAAATCATGTTAGGTCCGATTTCAAGACTCTGCGAATTTTGAGACTCAGTATTCAAAAATTGAAAGGAAAAAACCTGTCGTGTGGCATCTCAGTAAAGATGTATTTTCGTCGTAAGGTCCTTATGTATACTAGAAAAAACGTGCCTCATGGTATATTCCATGGTATGCCACTCAAGACCATCGTGTAACTACAGCTGTATTCAGCGTAGAGCGTAGATAAATTGGAAAAGAAATCTCCAACCCATGTATGCTATTAGCCTATTCCGCAGGCATCTCCTTGCTCTTTTTGCCTCTTGGGCTTCCTGTGGCGAGGACAAGAAAGACGAAAGCCTTTTCTCTCCCTCCCTCGTCCCCATTCCTTCTCCTCTCTCGTTCCTAGTTCTTCTCTGCCATAAAATTAAACACAGGGACCCCAACACAGAATATATGGTGTAGCCTTCGGAGGAGGCTAGCATGCTATATAAGTGACGGAATATATTGAGAAAATAAGGATTGAACTGAAGGATAGAATGACTTACATCTGATGTGTCCCATTCAGAATCTACGAGAAAAAGTTAAAATAAACGTTAAAAGTAATAAAAAGAGAATGGCGGAATTTGAATAAAAGACGTCAGAAGAAGACGTCAAAGGCTTCCTCAACTTGTCTCACTAAACCGCGATCAGAACCATTTCGCTATCATTACTATCATCCCCATAATCTTCTTCATCATCATCATAATCATCATCATCATTACCCAGCCCCTCGGCTCCGCCTTGTTTTTTTAACCCACTTCTCGGTGGAAATCGGATGAAAAACTCTTTCATGTGCTTGATATATTACATCAACATCATTACCATCATGATAACGCTCATCACCACCAACGTTACCGTTAGCATCAACATAATCACCATCATTATCATTACTATCAGCATCATCGCCATCAGCATCACTATCACCACCACCACCACCACCATCAACATCATCACCATCATCATCACTTTCTCCATCTTCATCATCATCATCATCTAGGCTCTTTCCTAATTTTCCCCACGACGACCTTGTGTTTATGGTCCTCACCGAAAAATGACAAAGATTAGGTTAAATTAATTCTTGGTGAAGATAAGAGGTACGTACCTTCAGAAAGGCTGCTGTCGTGTTTGTCYGTCTTCTTCTTTCCTCTGTCTTTCTCATGTGCTTCACTAATTTCAGGGTCAGAGACAGAGCTTACTGGGCTACCAAGGTTCAGCTTAGGAATCTTGTTATCCTCTACGAAATTGCAAATCCAAAACAAATGTAAACCATATATACGTTAAAACCTTTTGGCAAGGGATTTATGGCAATGAAATGGTCGTGCGAATGCGCGCTTTATCAAAACCCATTAATTTTCTGACCTTGTTTTTTCTCGTCTTTTGTTGAAAATGATAAGGGTGCAGTAGCACTTGTTGGTGTCTTTATATTCACATCATCATAGTCCAGTGAAGCTTCTGATAAATGGTCATCGTCGCCATTATCGCTTAAGGTAAGACTTAGATCGCTGTCTTTACTACCAGCATTGTCTGAAGGTTATGTAGAATTGCACAAGAAAAATAATTCAAACATAGATCAGCATAGAGGTTGTTTCAGGGTATGAATACAAATTGTAAATCGACTACAATTCAGTGGTAACCACGCGCATAGGACCAATTTTAACTCGTTCTGGCGGTCTTAATTTGTGGGAAGCACGGGAAATATAAAATAATTACCAAGTAAAACTATATGCAAAGATTTGCGTACATGAAAGATAAGCTACATTAAAACTTAAAAGGCACAAAAAATATATATCAATGATGAGAAAAACTGGTTTACCTGTCATAAATACGCCTTTACTGCTGGACTTTAGTCCCCCCTAGACGGAAAGGATAAGTAATTGAAAAAATGGATGAATGAATGGATTAATGGGATAAATAGGTAAGTGGAAAAATACGCCTTTACTGCTGGACTTTGGTCCCCCCTAGAGGGAAAGGATAGTGAAAAAACGGATGAATGAGTGGATCGATGGGATGAATACATAAGTGGATGGATGGATAGATACGTACATGAATGGATGAAGAATTTGGTGGATAGATAAGCGGTTGAATGGAAATCGATGGGTACATTAATTGATGGATGTAAGGTTTGCAATGTGATCTCACAATATGACGTGATGTTACGTTGTCACGAGATTACTTACCTTTTTCACCTCGGCAAGTTTCCCAGCCAGTAATGCAGCAACCTTTTCCGACGCTTCTGATTCAGAAAGCTTAAACGGAAACAAGAAAAAACAGTTTATTACGATTTCTTCATTTAACCAAAGTCACTGGTCAGTCATTTTTAATCTCTCACCTGTGATTCGTCGTCTGAATGCACTTGAATGGATTCCCAGGGAAGTGACTGGGGTCTTCCTCCAGATAGTCTCGACGGTGACACATCTCCTGATACACGACCAGTGGACAGCTTTCTTCCAGAACTGTCAGTCTTGGGTGTACTATTGGTGGGTGTCTGTCCACTTTTCACAGGTGTCCCCGGTGCGCTTTTGGTGGGTGTAGAACGTGCTGATGTTTTCTTGGCGTCATTTTGTGTTGAGTCCTTGGAAGGCGGTGGGCTGGATAATGGAACAGGGATCTTTGATCCTGCTGTCTCTACTGGTTTGATTTTACCCACTGAATAATGATTGAACAAAATATGTAATTATGAATAATTAAAATACGGCCCTGGACAATTACCCCTCTCTCCTTCCACCCCCTCCCCCACTCAACCCAACCCAGCCCCTTTTATTGTCTTGAAACTAAAGATTACTGTATGCTAATGATCATCATAAAATAATTGTTAGATACATCATTTACTGATTTTGGTAGCACAATCTTTATTAAAGTACATACGACTCGCGCTCGTTCCCTTTGTCCCCCCCCCCCCCCCCCCCCCCCCCCCCCTCCCAATGGTCGTCGTATTTCACACCGTTTAAGAAACATAAAACGAGGCGTAGCCTTAGTGCTCTACAGCTCCCAGAGTGTTTTTAAAATTTAAAAATCAGTGACACAAGGACCGCTTTTATATTGTTTTACAAATTTTTTTGAACGATTTTATGAGAGCGTATCTCTGTTCTCTGATATAAACACGGTAGCTAGCCAATCACCGCGCGCGTTATAGCATCAATATTTATCTTACCCTGGCTGTTAGTCGATTTGACGCTGTCCTGTCGAACTGGTATTCGACTGGTAGCTGTAGAGACATAAATTAACATCAACGGCTTATCGAGAACTACTAGGCAAGGTACAGTATAAATTCAAAAGCTAAGATGTCGTTTTTAGTTTTAAATTGCATTCAACACTAAACATTCTGGTTCATCGATATCGTTTCCTATTGACACAAATGACTTACATTTCTGACTATGTGCTGATACGTCTGATCCTGAGCGCGCCACAGGTTTGAGTGCAGCCAGAAGACTGGGTTTTGCAGGCTAGAAAAACAAATAAAAATAAATATTTTTTTAAAATATCACTTTTGCCCAGCTATAACACGAAACCCAGGAAATTCACTGAGAAAATTTTATAGAGTCACTGTGCTATACAAACTGTTACACGTACATTTACTTTCTTTTTCGATTCAAATATGTCTTCTGCTTCGGAAGAATCCCAAGAAGTTCCTCCAACAGAATGACTGCGAGGAGAAAACACACAATATGAGAGCAATGTGAAATACATGAATAAGGAAGCATTGGTACGCTCTCCTCTCCCCTTCTCTCCACTCTTTTTCCCCTTCTTCTCTACTTTATGTCACGCCTCGTCTGCCTTCTCTTCCCCTACCCTCTGCACCTTTTCTCCCCTCCCCTCTTGTTTTACCCTTATACCTCATTTCCATTCCACTTTATGCCAGCCCTTGTCTCCAATCTCCACCCCTCCTATCGGCAAACTCTCTCCCCTCCTCTTCCCACTCCGATCACTCCTCTCTTCTTTCCCTACCTCCCCAACTCGCTTCCACTTCATGCCACACCTCATCTTCCATCTCCTCCCCTCTCCTCTGAACCTTCTCTTTCCTCTCTTCTTTCCCCATCTTCCTACCTCCCCAACTCACTTCCACTTCACGACACGCCTCACCCCCCAACTCCTCCCCTCTAATCTGAACCTACTCTCTTCTCTCTTCTTTCCCCAGCTCCTCAACTCACTTCCACTTCATGACATGCCTTGTCTCCCATCTCCAATCCCACCTGCATCTTCTCTCCCTTCCTCTTCCTTCCTCTCTTCTTCCCTTCTCCCCTCCACAATCCACAAATGCTGTAGTATGTACTTACTGACTAGTTGTGTCTCCTTCTTTTCCTGATGGACTCTCTCCACCTAAATGATACAATGTGCACTTATTTTACCAGATATATACCATTCAAAGAAATAGGAAAAGCCATTGTTTTTGAGTGAGATAAGGTTGAACCATGATTAATTCAACTGACTTATGACCAGTTGTTATCACATCTTTTGGATAATCACTTGTATTAGAAGAACAGTTTCGAGTTTATATTTACTGCTGTGCTCATTTGATTACAGACTCTTTTACACAGGGTTAGCCTCGTATCAGTGTTTAAATA